AATACTGTGGTTTTTGCATGCACAGTTGGACAAAAACCAAGTAAAGCAAAATATTATCTTGATGACACCAATGAAGTTATTTTAATGCTTACAAGTCTGGTTGAAGCTACTGACTCTCCCGCTTTATCTGAAGATGAAAATTACGGGTCCCATTATCCTTAAAAGAATTTCATTTTTTTAAAACTAGTACTAATTATTATTATTCTTTTTTTTATTGAATAGTTGCATATTATGTGTCTATTTACATTCTTTTACATAGATGAGGTTGCAGGTTTAGTGTATTTTTTTCAAGAAGTGGTAGTTAGTGTACTTTTCTTTCATTGATTTGTTTATTGTAGCATTATGCTTTCGTTTCCTCTTATTATTTGAATAATTTATAGCAATGTCGTCCAAATATAAAGGAATTTTCACTGCTATGATTGGATAGATATTTCGACAGTATTATAATGTCTTAATAAAGAAAAAAATTAAAGTACAATGTTATTTGGGTTTAAATAAAGAAAAGTTTAAGTATAATTCTATAATTGTGTAGATTTTTCAAAGTACAATGCTATAATTAGAATTCTGCTAAGGGTTATTCAAATCACTCTTTAGTCCTTTCACAAAAAAGAAAACCTGCAAACCGGGCATCTACCATGGGTTCTCACCCAAGGCAAGATACATTGCTCATGAAACGTATGATTACACGGTGTCACCATCACCACTTGTTTTGCTTCGAAGTCTTCTAAGCATATGACACATCTTTTATTATCATAATCATCATCTTCTTTGTATACTTCTTTTGTGGTCTTTCCACCATCCTTTTCAGAGTAAAACCTACCCAACCTTTGTATAATCTTCTTTGGAATAGGATTGTAAATCTCTTTCCTAAGCTTCTCTAAAGCTTTTGTTTGATTGTTTGAATCACGTGTTTGTAGTTGTGTTTGTGTTTGTGATCGATCCATTTCTCTTGACCTCAAATTCGTGTGGTTTGCCAAATTGTTTTGCAACACCACAAGACGCATTCGAGGTTGTGGAAAACTGTAAAATTTTGCATTCAACAATTGGTATGGTAAATACGATTTAAAAAACTATATTGCTATGATGATCTTATAACTTTTTAAGTAAAACAATCAAAATATAAATATGAGCTCAATATATTTCCATATCAAGTAGTAAAAAGAGGGAAAAAGTCATTAAAAGATTAATATGGGAGACTATAAGAAAGGGGATCACCTCATTATGGAGGAAGGTAAAGTGAAGATTCTATTCTCGAAGGACCACAACCATGGATCAATACCAACTCTCTCATTCTGCAAAATGAAATATTTATGTATAATTCGGGTGATTTAAAAGTGACACGCTAAAATAATTTATCCACAAATGTTTATCTGCTTGGATTTATAAAATATAATGAGTAAGTACTATAATAAATAATGTAACGTAATAAATAAGTTAATGAAATTAGGTATTACATCCAACAATCAAACTTGATTGGAATACAAAAATGGGACGAATTTTCATATGAGTTTTTATCTTGTATATAAAAAGAAAATCTATTGAAAAATCTTTATGTTTAGACTTCATAACCGCTTTAGTCTTTATTTTTTTTTATAGTCAATTAAGTTCCAAAACCGAAAAATATATTCATTTTGACCTTTTTATTTGGTCAACAGGTCATCCAACTTTCAAAAATTATATTTTTGGACTAGAATTTAATTTTTATTACAAACTTGGTCCAAAATTTACACTTCTGGTCCAAATTTTAAATTTTATTACAAACTTGGTCCAAATTTACACTTTTGGCCTAAATTTTAAATTTTATTACAAACTTGGTCAAAATTTTACACTTTTGGCTTAGATTTCAAAATTTTGTTATAAATTCATCCTAAAAATGTATATAAACATTTTTTTTATAAAAAATGCATACAAATACGTGTTTTATAAAAATATATACAAACACGTTATTATAAAAAAAATGTATACAAACCCCAATTTTATAGTAAACATATTTGTATATATTTATGTTTTTTATGCACAAATAGGTGTTATATACATTTCTTTTATAAAAACGTGTTTCGATATATTTTTTATAAAAGCGGGTTAGTATAAATTTTTTATAAAATCCTGCTTGTATACAATGTATTTATTATAAAATAGGTGTGCATAAAAAATATATACAAATACACTTTTATAAAAACAAAATATATACAAACACCTATTTCTGTGCACATAAATTAATACAACTATTTTTACTATGAAATAGGTGTCTGTATACATATTTTTAATAAAAACGTGTTTGTATAATTTTTTATAAAATATGTGTTTGTATAATTTTTTTTATAAAAATATGTTTGTATACAATTGCATTTATTATAAAATAGGTGTTTGTATAAATATGATTTTATAAAGCAAAAAAACATATTTGAAACAAAATTTTGAAAAAAAAAATGTAAAAAAACTAAATTTAGGATGAATTTGTAACAAAATTTTGAAATCTAGGCAAAAAGTATAAATTTTGGACAAAATTTGTAATAAAATTTAAAATTTAGGTCAAAAGTGTAATTTTTGAAAGTTGAATGACCTGTTCACCGGGTAAAATAGTCAAAATAAATATATTTTTCGGTTTTTTGGACTTAATTGACTAAAAAAAGATAATGACAAAATCGGTTATGAGTCCTAAACATAAAGAGTTCTTAGTAGATTTTTCAATATGTTTAGTATTAAGTTTATTTTAGATATTATTTTAAATATAAACAATAAATTGTTTATTTAAAAATATAGAACTCATTACACGTAATAAAAACTTATCAAAGCTCAAATAAGAATACAATAAAATATATGTTATTAGTTTTTTTTAGAAAATAATATGTTAATTAATTTAAGAGATGAAATTATATTTGTGTCAACAAATACTACATAGATAAGAAAATATGTTATATTGCAATTTTTCACTCTTTCTCATGGCATATAAAATACACCATTTGCTAAAGAATGAAATTAAGAAAACTAAAAAAATCACAATTTCCTCACTGGTTAGGCTTATAAATACAAGCAATTTTTTCATTTAGGGAAAAACTTAGAAAAATAAAACTCAACTTATTTTCATCAAATACTTAAAAAAAAACCATTATATTACTTTTATGTACGTTAAAACCCTTATATATATCATTTAAATGTCTAATTTAAAGCTTCGAATTCGGTAATACCAAGATAGCCAAAAATGCTAGGTAGACGATTCTCAAAGGGTTGATGATAACAATCAATTAGATTAAAAAATTTCAAAAAAATATAAGGGTTTTGATGTACTAAAAAAATATAATAATGGTTTTTTTAATGCTTAGATGAAAATAGATATGGTTTTTCTAAGACCAGAAAGACTTAAATAAGATTTTCAGAAAAAATAAAAGTTTTAGTGGACTAAAAAATATATTGGTTTTTTTCAGAATTAAATGAAAATATATTGGATTTTTATAAGGTTTTCCCTTTCATTTAATTGGGTTAAGCATACTAGCATAGAAATAACCGACCAAGGTTAATTTGGTCCAATTTATGAAATCCTTCTTAGATGACTTGTAACTTGTCACTTGTACTCTTTTGTCTAGCTTCTTATTAGATAATGTTTTTTCTTTTATATATTGTGGTTCTAAAAAACAAAATACAAACAATCACTTTCAATTCTTTTTCCAACTCACATACCAAACACTAATTCGTGACAAAAATGATTGTATTTGCTAATAATAACATGGAGGTGTCAAAATTTGAATCGTGTTTGTCCAAATTAAATATTTCCACAAGAAAGAAAGAAAAAAAATGAGATACCAATTTCACTAAAATATTTCTCTAAGGATATGTTAGAGAAGAATAGTAACCAGGATATGAGGAAAAAGGCGCGATGGTGGAGATATAATGTCCAAAAATGAGTCCCTACCACCGTTGTTGTACCATGCATTTGCATCGTTGGCAAGTCGCAAAGACCGTTGAGTATTGATATTGTTGTGGTTGCTCATTATGTTAGAGACATGTAAATCTTTTATTTTCCTATTAAAAGTTTATATAAGATGTGTTTGAAGGAGTGTTACCTCTTCCAAGTATATATGCCTTCATTCTTTTGTTGTTGATTTGAAATTTTATTCTATGTCCTTCCCACTTAATTGAGAGATTCTTTCTTAATTATAATGTTGTTTTTATTCTATAGAATCTATGGGGTTCTCTTAATATCATCGAGATTTTTCTCTTAAGGATGATCATGTTGTGTTTAAAAAATGGTTAAATGCACATTTATGAAACAATATTCCATTTTTGTTTTAATCGGTTCAACAAAGTGGTTTTTATACGAAATATGTGATGTTTTTTGTAAAGGGCTTCTAGCCCAGCGGTATCCAGTATTGTCCTCCATCTTTGAGGTTGAGGGTTCAAGTCCCGTCGTGGACATAGGTAGATTTAAGGTGTAGTTTAGAAGTAGATTAGATTTGCCGTTTAAAAAAAAAGAAAAATATGATGCTCTTTGTGAGGGGTCAAAAGGGCCACGTCGGTAATGGGTTAAGACGTGGTTATACATAAATTTGTGTCAATTACACAGTGGTGAAAAAAACTGAACAATGTAGCGCAAATTGGTAAATGATAAAGCATTGTTACATAAATTGATGAAAAAAATTAAGCATTATTGCATAAATAAGTGGTTTAATTAATCTATATCTATATCGTATAATAAGATATGAGACAATTGTTTCTGATTGCAGTATTGCATTAGTTGCTCCCAAAATTAAACGTCTTTGAATATTATCGTAAATAAAACTTAAATTAGAAAAATATGAAATGTCTATTTAACCCCCATAATAAATTTGTTACAAGGTTAAAACGGATACATATTTAAAATTGATTAAAATAGAGTCTCCAATATTGTTTTGTTCATATGAATAATTGATATATTAATGATGATTATAAACATCATCGTTAATATAATAATCAGGTGTGAGACCCGTGTCATATACATTTTTTTTTTAAATATAAAGTAGTAAGTATTACATATTTTTTAGTAATAATTTTACTATGTTTTTTTTTTTTAGTTTCAAACAATAAAAAACACAATAACAGCAAACAAAACAGTAACAATAATGGAAATAATTAAAAGTAAGATGTTATTTTAAATGAATGGATGACATATAAAACTAACATTCAGTTAAACAAACAACACAAGCATTCAGTTAAACACATTCAAAACCAATAAAATAAAGACAATAGACAAATTAGATTGCTAACCTTGTGTTTGTCATTTGGGATGCCTTAAAAAAAATCAGAAATCCAATAACATAACATCCAATTTTTTTTTTTTTTTTTTTTGAACGGCAAACTAACTAATCTACTCCTAAATAACCACCTATATCTCCACCGACACTTGAACCCCTGACCTCTCATATGAGATGGTCACTCCATATCGCTAGGCCATTGGCCCTTTGGTAACATAACATCCGATAACCACTAAAATCAGGACAACAAATAACGTAAGGGTAAAATAGTCAAAAATGTAATTAAGAGTTTACTTTGTGTTGTGTAACTTGTCTTCTTTACTGGTATGTGGATGGTTATTACATGTAAAATGAATATATATATATATATATATATATATATATATATATATATATATATATATATAATGACGGATGGTCGTAAAGATATTACATTTTTGACAGGTGGTCGTAAAGATATTACATTTTTGATGCCCCATGTTGGTTTATAACTAATTCTGATAGATATTAATTTTTCAAATATAATGACAGGTGGTCGTAAAGATATTATTA